GATGGGGCCGGCCTCAGCATGCGAACTGCAGCACCTCCCCTACACGTCGGTGGTGCTGCAGTGCGTGACATGCCGAGGCCTGCGCTTGTTGGGAACCACAGGCGCTCTTGCAGGCGCTGCAACGAAAGCTGCCCCGGCCGCCAGTGCGGCCACGGCCGCCATGGAAGACACTGCCAGACGAGGCATGGCTAGCTTGCTGGAGCCACTTGCAGCTGCAGCTGGAGAAGACATGCATTCTGTGAAAGCGATTGTCTTGAAATCTGCAGCACAAAACACTGCAATGGTAATTTAAGGTGAGGGCCACGGCGCATGTTCTGCCCTACGCGAGCATCAGGTGAAACTGTGATTCCCGCACTGCTGGGCACAAGTGGCTGACCCGGACATACTTGAATGAGAAAGTCGAGCAGCAAAAGGACTTCTATCTCTCCCGAAGCAGTTAGTAAAAATGTTCAGATCTATCGACTCCCGGGAGCCTGGTCGGTCCACAGCCGCTTAAGTAGCTCGTGGTCCAAGAGTCACCGTGATGTTGGGAAGTCACTCCCAGTCGTTGTGGATGCTTGCCGTCTTCGTTGGATATCCGACATATCTTAGAGTTAGGATCCGGATATCCTTCCCCACTCGAAGCCCGCATGGCAACCACGAATCTCACATCCCAACACCAGCTTTGCGTCCCTCGTTTGACATCTGATAGCGTTTCGGCCACGTCATTCCAATGTGATGGTCAAAGTAGGCTCGGCCATGGTTGAGCAAAAACCGTAGGATGGGAGGTGAAATCGCAGCATGGTGGTAGCAGCTGGTGCGACGGCTCACAAGACTTCTCGTTCCCACTTGCCGGGACAGGCAGTTTAACATTCAGTATTCTTATGTCTTTTGATGGGCTCAGCTCAACAACGAGTCCAAATCGAACTCAGTGCACATTAACGGACAGTCGAGATGGAGCGAAATCACTACATTGCAGTCAGTGCATTGGAGTTCCCTGATCACAGGGGGCGCCCAGCGGCGCGCTGCAACACAGTGGTTACTCATTGGCATGATGGGGGTGGACACTTCTGGGGTAGCAAACCAGGCAGGCCCTGGAACGCAGATCCCTACATTTTGGCTCGACAGATACAACAATACTTGTTGTGACAGCCCGTATGTCTCCTGGAGTGGAAGGGCCAAACATCCCCAAAGCACAAATTAGCCAAAAAAAGACCACCGACCTTTCCGTTCCGAAATGCTCATCATTTACGTCATCTCGTGCAGCAGCTCCCCAGCTCGATGGCCGCCGGGCCAGGAAATGGGTGCTCACGTCACTATTGGGCTCCTTTTTGTAGCAACGCGTCTGGACCAAAACAGGCGAGGAGGCACACAAACTCACCCACTCACCCTTGCTGCGGCCCTTCCCTACGCGAGTATCCCACCTTTGATAATTAAGGCATTGCAAGTCAGCAATAGGGGGAAACCTGCTTGAGACGAAGAGCTGCACTACGAAGGGAGTCCGACGGGCAGCAGGTCAAGGAAAGCCACACAAGACTGGAACACGGAGGGCAGTGATATCGTCTATGAGCGTCTACGAGAAGGACGACGAGGATCACGGTGATGATTTAAAGGCCGCACCTACACGGCCGCACGAAAACACACGGCGAAGCTGAATGGGTGCGCGCACACACACACACACACACTTCAATGTGCGATTTTCTGGGCATTGCATTTATTGGCTGAAGGATGTAACAATGCGGCGGGTTTCACGGTTCTTCGGTGCGTAGCCGTACAGGGTCTTGTTGAGAATTTGCTGCGCTGCTTCGGCCAATTTCCTCCTTGACACTATCGTTCACGTGAGTAAACTGTGAACTGTAACACATGGCCCTAGAACAGTACCGCCTTCTTTTTGACCCAGGTGCGCGCCAAGGTTCGCGAACATATGGAACAGCAGCCTGAGCCTGCTACATGGATTCATGGAGCAATGGAAGCACTTCAGCGCTGATCTGACTGGCACGATGCCGAGAATAAGCGTGGGAGCAGACGTGCTACGTCCCTTCCAACGGCTGTGCCCAGCCGAACTCAGAGACGATTTGATGCAGTCGGTACCTGTCAGAGACGTAGCGACAGGCGACAGTGGCTTTGGCAGCCTCTTTCAACTCACAGCGCGCACGGAAGCTTGAGCGCAAGATGGCCCAGCAGACACTCAAAGGCAAAGGCGTAACTGTCGCCCCGCTCTCGGGCCCCCTGCGACGCTTGGCACGTTCTTGCAGTTTTCAGTCGAGCATGAAAAATCCACTCGGAGTTCGGGGTCGCCTGCATTAGACTCGCCTCTTCTGCAGTAGCACTATCACGGAGGAAGGCGATCTGCACAAAGTTGCCAGGCGAGCATCAATCTACTTTCAGAACAAGCATTCGGGCGGCACCGATGCTGCGTCCAGCTCCTCCTGCCGAAGCCTCGGAGACGGGATGCAATCGACGGCACATCAGAGCTCTTCCGGACTGAGGCCACAACGCGAGCTTGACACGGTAGATGAACTCGCTTGCTATCAGTGGCCTGCAAAAGCTCAAGGCCATGCAGGGGCAAACTCCGTCGACCTCAGCTCATACGTTGCCTCTCGCAGAGGTACCGGCTAACGTAGAGGCGAAGTGCTGCATGGCCCAGCGGAGCGAGCGCCTTAGACACCAATTGTGCTTGCCCGACGTTCTCTCTCTGTTGTGGAGCTCGGAGTGGCACCAAAAAGTAGTTGCCGGGAGGACGTAATGATGGGTCGAAAATTCCTCAAGAGCGACGAGACCTAAGAAAAACTCGAGATGTCAACAAAGAGCACCTCCTGTGATTTCCGCAAGCATCTGATCCTCCATCCCAGGCTTCTGAAGAAGCCCAATCTGCCGCAGGGCGGGGGCAAGGCTTCGGCGCTGTGCTGTGCACTTTCTGTGCCTCGTTGATGATTCTTGTCAAGTCTTTGTCCGAAGACGCCGCATCCATGTAGGCGTATCCCAGGAGAGTCCGCAAACCCAGAGCACAGCAATACCTGCAAATTCCACCATGCACAAGCTCCAGTAGGTTACCGGAGGGTGGCGCACATGTTGATGCCCACTTGCCTGATTCCCTCGAAATTCCACCTGACCTGGAGGTGCAGAGCATGAGAGCAGTGTCTTGCAAGCCTGCCTGCAGAACTGCAGTGTGGAGGCAAAAGCACCAGACCTTCTGGAGCCATACCTTTTGGGCCCCTTCGAGCAGCACTTCACGCTCTCGACCAGTGAGAGCCCTGAGTACGGCCATTTGGCATCTGGCTTAGCATAGCATAGCATGCCCAACAGAAGATGCATCATGGAATATCCTTCACTGGGAGAAGTGTAACAGGAAGCATATTACCATGCTTATGCATGGCTTCTCCATGATCCCAACAAGATGTCGACTGAGTCAAGTCTTGGCCGCCGACCCACTGCGATGAAGCATGACAGCAGCTCGTCCCTGCCGTATTGTGCGTACCTGTGGATAGGACACACAGAAGCCACGCGACCAACACCAGAACATCAGCGAACCTCCTGACTCTCCGTAAATGGACTCCTGACCACCTCAGCACATCTCGCCAGCTGGTATCCGACGAGCTTGGACGACCTGCCGACGTGCCTGCTGGTATTGATGTCGAAGAACCATATACTCCCACACGGTGTCCCCGAGGTAAGCTGCGGGCAGGACAACAGAAAGATATCGTTGTGCTGCTACGGTATGCTTGGTGAGAGAAATCTGAGGCATCGCACCAAGGATGTCTCTCTCCAGCATACCACGTGTTAATCTTATCCTCCGCCGAATGTCATCTGGTGGAACAATACCCTGCCAGCTGGCAAGAGTCACTTCACCACACGTGACTCACTGTTCGCAAAACACGATTGGGGCGGCCATCTTCGACGACCAACCTTCTGGTGTTGCTGGCTCCACTTCCTGAGGACCCCTGAAACTAACGATGAGTGTCAGCCTACTTTCGCTGTGACAAACTGAGCCACAAGCAAAAAGTGGTGCGGTCTGCACAACCTACGGAACACACGTTCGAACAATGCCTCCTGGAAACGACAACACCAGGCCTCAGAGGCTCTTCGAGCTGATCGACCTCAACGTCTAGAGTCTAGAGTCAGAAATGTAGGATACCGTGTCGGTCTTTCGTGACTGCTACTCTTCTTTAATCTCCGCGGGCAGAAGGTACGCGAGAAAGCACACACCACCGGCTTCTCGTTCCTACGTTTCTAGGCACAGACGAACCACGTCGCAGCTTGAACCCTTCCCACCACGACAAGAGGTCTCGCCACAACTTGGGCTGGCATTCAGCGATGCAGCTGCTGCACTTGGGCGCTGAGCGTACACACACACACACCCCTCCTCGTTGGGCAGTGGATGATAGAAGGCTCACTGTGCCCCTGCATGTTCGCTACAACTTACTAGGTTCTAAATCCAAATCCTTTGAGACACGAGGCTTACACACACACACACACGCAGAAACATAGTCACAACTTTGATCTGAGATTTCACAGTCACAGCTCTCTTTCTTAGTTTTGCATTATCCAGAACATTGCACGTCCGGAGAGCTTGGCACACAAAGTCGAAATTAAAAAGCAGACCACCTTCACGACATTTCACGACGTACGTTGCAGCTGCTGAGCTCGCAAACCAGCCACTGGTTTGCGAGAGTCTGCTGGGACACCGCATACACCGCATACACCGCAACCGCGATCAACCACTCTTCACTAGGCCGAGCACAGGCGCGGCGTTGCTGCCTCCATGCCTGCACGAGCGTCCCAGTGCCAGTCCCAGAAAGAAACCGATATCGGCTTGAGACGGGAAACCAGCAGACCCGCGGTCATGGACACCATGGACAAGGACCTCCGGGTTATGTTGAAACGGAGAGAAAAACGCAAGGTCTTTGTTCCGCCTCACGGAATGCCCGGTAAATGTCTGGTGCCGCTGACGTCGGAGATCCCTGCAAGCCTTCGCGAGCAAAAACGCTCGCTCGAACGTCTGACAATACTGTGAGAGTCTCAAGGCCTGTACCGCCAGTGAGGCCGTCACTTTTGGTTGAACATGCCCACAAATCCTCGACATCACCCAAAGCGTCAGGAGAGAGCTCCAAGCCTGGCAAGGTCCTTGGAGGATCCATTGAAGCCCAATGTTAGCCAACCTGTCAACTCATTCAACCACGGAAAATTTCTCCGGATTTAGAAGCACTTTGATATGGTACGTATTTGTTGTAGGTTGAACAGCATCGAGCTCTTTTGCCTGCAGCTGGGCGTGTCCGGTCGTATCCTGCGAAGGCTTTAAAAAGATTGCCCTTCTGCTGCTGTGACCAATGCTTATGCAGCGATTATCACTTGCCATTCTGTCTCTGGATGT